ATATATATTAAAGGGAACACAAACATTTGTCCTTCACTAGCTAAATTTTGAACAGTACTGTACTTCATACTTCATACTGCATATGTGCAGGTGATGCTTTTAAGTGCTTGCCAGCACAGGGCACAGTATAGGTGTGTGTTCGGTATTTTCGGTGTGCTTAACTGTACATCGAGGAAGATGGAGTACAAGGAACTATGCTTTGATTGTTAACCTAGGATATAGTATATCTTTCTGTATACAAGTAGCCTTTTTTGTGTTGTGCTGTATCATACTTACATTATGTTGGATTGCACTATTTTAACTTTGAAGGAAATAGAAAAAAAATCCCTGTTGCTAGTGACTTTTATTTTACTACTTTCATAATTCAGTGTTTTTTGTTTTCCTGTATAGTGCAATCTTCTTAGTATTGGCCTACTTTTGTTCCCAGGTTGTTTGCGCTGTGCCTCAGAATTTGGAGAGCAAGTCTCCAGCTGCTCCGGGTCAGAGTCCCTCAGGGAGTGTGTGTTACGAACGCAATGGGGTAATTAAGAATTACTTTTTTACCTGTGAAATTTGTAATTCTGTTTGGCCTGTTTTGTGATTCTCACACACACCTGCCCTTCTGCTTAACTAGTAGGAAGACACCATTGTTATAGTAGCTTCTGTGTTGCATGCCTACTCACTGGGCTAGGAGAGTTGGGTGGGGCTGAGATCTTCCTGTGCAGTCCTCCTGTAGGCTGCCTATATATCTCCAGGTTACCTAAGTAATCCTATACATGTTATGACTGTATTCTGCATTTCGTTGTATTTGTTTTATGATTTTTAATTTGTTGGGATAAAGGGTTTTAAATTTGCCTGGAGTTTTCCCTAATGGCTAGTTCACACCATGTTTGTATGGTGTTGACAGTCATGTTGGTAGCCAAGCCACATAATTGTATACATGGTGCCCCTAGTTTGGTTTAAGTTTTGCAGTTTATGCTAACTCTAGATGTGTTTTTATTTATGAAGCTATTAACGTGACTTTTCTTTTATCAGGAGGTGTTTTATTTAACCTACACCCCAGAAGATGTCGATGGAAATGCTCAGCTAGAAACTGGAGATAAAATTAATTTTATTATTGAAACAAACAAGCAGTAAGTTGCAATGTAACCTACTTACTATTGTGCATTGAAATCCTTACTGCTTTGGATTGGAGAGCATTCTAATTCCCACATCATATTTACTCTTCCCTAAACTAGCTGCATATGTGGAAGGGTGTGTCATAACTTTTGCAGCCTAGATGTTAACATTCAATGCTTTAATGTGGCCATGTGGATCCTCTTGTGCGTGGTGTGGGGCTTTTTTTTCTCCTGTACCTAGGCATCTGCTAAGCATTTCTGAATTTCAACTATGCCAGAATTGCATACACATTTTGTACTTATCACAATACTGAGGGAAATTTTACAGCAGGGCTGTAATCAACCTGCACTCCTTTACATTACTTTCACACAAGTTACAGTCTAGATATATCAACCATTCTTATACAGCAAGATGATGGTTCATGCTGTAAAAACCTCAGTTGGCTGGCAGTTCTAAGACTCTACTAGTTGGGAACCAATCTGTGTGATGTGATCACAAGGACAATTCTAACTGTGATCACACTCTGGTTTAAAAACTGACCTATGTTTAGTACTGTAATGGTAACGTGTGTTACTATAATTCATAGTGTATTGACCTCATATACTGATAATGTAAATGTTGCATGCATGTGGTTAATAGGGCTTCCCAACAATGTGCTGCTGTAAGTATTGCTGTTAATGAGGAATCGTACTACCTTTTATCAGGTTGGATAGGATGCGTCTAACTGATTTCTTTAGCTTGCATATGAATACATCCTAGCATAAATATTCTCAGTCTAATGCCATACGCTCCCCAAAGACCAATATTTGTTTCCAAATTGTGTAGTACAGCTAACAGTTTTTTGTTTTTTCTACATTTTTTAGCACTGGTGCAGTAAGCGCTCGAAACATTATGCTGCTTATGAAACGGAAGCAAATGCGTTGTCAGGGTGTGGTTTGTGCCATGAAGGTAAATCTCTTTAGATGGGCACTCTTAAACTGCCGTTAAATGCATGTTTACTATAGTTACTATAAAAATTGTTGCTGCAGCCCTCATCTATGGAGGAAAAATCTCACACCTCTGTATGACAAAACTGCTTTGGGAAGTGTGTGTGTGTGTGTTCTGAAAGGGCGTGGGGGGTCTACTAGCAATTCCTGTTCAACTTCACCTCGCATTATGTGATAAAAGCAGACTAACTGCAGCTTTTGGGTCCCTGGCAAACAAAGTAATTGTTGGACAGTCCTGCAAAATCACACCATGCTTCAGTTTTTTGCTAGTATCCTAGGAGTATCTATCTATCCACCTTTTTTCTTCAGTTTGCATCTTTCTTAAAGGTTTTTCCTTAGGTTTTATTTTTCTTCAAGATTTCTGGTGCATAGCTGCTTGAGCTGGTCTGTATGTGACAGCTTTCTGGATCTGCTTTTCCTCAGCTCCAGCTTTGGAGTGTATTTGCCAGTAGAGAACAGCCACACCCCAATTGTGAACATAGCTAGGAAAACTAAATACCCCCATGCATTATGATATAGGATTAAGGACTTGGCATATGAGTGAAAACCAGGGAAGCCCTCATACTTTTCAGATACCAGTACCAGGGTTGCAGCTGGGGCCTGGCTCTGGTGCTCCACCACTGTCCTTGTCCTGAAATCATTAGTCTGTATTTTTTTAGAAAAACATGACAAAAATGTGTCAGTACTTGTAAGTACTTGTATATATTTATAAAACAAAATCATACATTGAAACAGATCTACAAATCCCAGGAGCTCCGTGTGCTCCTTACGAATGACAGCTGCCTCCTAACTTTTCAATTTTTGTCTAGTTTTAGAGCTTAAAGTATTTGTACTTGTACCGAGTACCGTACTTGATATCGGTGCATTCCTAGTGAAAACCAAAATGGCAACTTGTTTTCATATAGTCTTTATTCCTATACCTTATGATAAAACCAAAATATCTGTGCGCACAAGTGCTGTGGTATAAATGGTCCAGCTGCTACAAATGTATTTTTGTTTTTTTTTATTTGTAGGAAGCCTTTGGATTTATTGAAAGAGGGGATGTTGTAAAGGAGATATTCTTTCACTACAGTGAATTTAAAGGAGATCTTGAAGCCTTGCAACCAGGCGATGATGTGGAGTTCACTATTAAGGATCGAAATGTAGGTATACCTGTGTTATGGCTGCGTTATGTTATGCTGATTGAGCTTTTCTGATTCTTAAATTTCTACTATAGGGCAAAGAAGTAGCAACTGATGTAAGGCTTCTACCTCAAGGAACTGTTATTTTTGAAGACATCAGCATCGAACATTTTGAAGGAACGGTTACCAAAGTTATCCCTAAAGTATTTAGCTAGTGTTCACTGCGTCCACTTGTGGGGTTTTCAGTGGGCTGTTCTAGTTTTTGCTGGCCCTCCTTATAAATGCACAGTGAGATTATGGGCCCCATCTGTTTCCTTTTGTAAGTTTTTTAATGTTTTAAATCTCATTCAGGTACTTAGCTTGGATTATATTTTTGTTGTTGTTCCTACTCCTGTCCTCACTGTGTATTCTGAGTTAAAACTTCCATCTACATGTCCATAGTAGTCCCCAGACAGCAGGAAATTCAACTTTATCCTGTTTATTACCTTTGTTGCAGATATATTTGTAATTTTCCAGGGGTACTGTGGAACATTTAATATGAGGGTGAATTAGGAAAAATATTGACGAAAATCTCATTACTTCCTTCAACAGAATGACCCCCTTCCAGGACGGATAAAGGTTGATTTTGTTATTCCTAAAGAACTTCCATTTGGCGATAAAGATACAAAGTCTAAGGTGACCCTTTTAGAAGGAGATCATGTGCGGTTCAACATATCAACCGATCGAAGGGACAAACTTGAGCGTGCCACAAACATTGAAGTGCTCTCTGATACGTTCCAGTTTACAAATGAGGCCAGAGAAATGGTTAGTGGGTCATGTTTTGTAGCACAAGAAATGTAGAGGAAAAGTTTAAAAGTGCAAGCATGTTGTGTTCTTTTTTTTTTTTTTTTTTAAACCTTTTTATTAGTAGGTAATGTTACATTGAGAATGTTGTCACTTTTCCGATCTGACAGCCTATTGTCAGATTGAAACAGTGCAACAGATTCCTCAATCTACGCTAAACTGTGTGGATGGATGAATCTCCCACTGGGTCAAGCTTGAGTATCCTGCTAGTCTGTCCTGCTGGCTCTCCAAGTACCTGACTGTACAATGCCTGCATCAAATTGTTCAGGTAATAAGACAGCCAACGGGGCCGACTAGCAAGATACTGAAGCTTGGTCCATCAGGAGATTCCTCTAGCCACACAGTTTAGGGTAGAAGGAATCTGTTGCACTTTTTGCATCTGACCATAGGCTGATCTGAACAATCTATAGGTGTATGGCCAACTTTATCCTGATCCTGCCTCTAATGGCTAAAGCAGGTGTTTGGAATTTTTCCCTCTGTTGGCATATTTAAAGGTTTTTTTTTTTTTTGTTCTTTTTTCCTTGTAGTTTTTTTTTTATGAGCAGGATCGTTTTTAAACTTTTGTTTTTTTGTTCTAGTCTCAATCTGTTGCTTTCTGAAGGCTGGACATTGTTTCTGCTTTTTACTTAGTGTCTTTGCTGTGCTCTCTGGCAGCTAGACTTGGGCAGGAACTTGCTGACCCAGAACAATGGACAGAGCTAGTGTGCGCATGCACCAACCCCTTTAACTGTCTGTGCTTCTCAGTGACTCTGCCACAAAGACCTATTCCACCTGGGAAGCATGTGCAGCAGCCATAGTCCACATTTGTCCAAAGGGGATTCCAGCAACAGAACAGTGCTCGACAGACACCACACAGCTGTTTCTTTAAACTGGCAGATGCCTAAAGCTTTTGGGAGTTTTGGCTGTAGTCTCTTACAAGTTTTAAAGTGCATTTCCACTTTTGCAGTCAAATTTGAGAAAACCTCTCTAGATGTTATGTTTTCCTATTTACACGGCATACTGGGGAAAACTTTTTTTGCAACTATTTAGTTTTTAGATGTTCTCTTGCAGCAGGCAAGATGGCTGATTCCAGGTTTTTCTTAGCACTTTTACAGTGATCTGTCCTTATAGACTTAGGACTGAACTTTGTGGATTTTTTTTCTTAATCATTGGAGAAGCCCCTCACAACCCCTCCTAACATTACTAAAGGAGGAAAAGCAAGTAGAAATTTAAAATTTTGGAGAAGCCAAGAAAACCAAACCGAGGAAAAGCAAGTTAAATTGCAAGAAGTATTTTTTATTTTTAGCTTATGCTATGTGATTGGGAACTTTTAACAAATTCAAAATAGCGGTTATCCCAATTTGGCTTTTCAGAGTTGAAGTATACTTTAAGCACTTGAAGACCAGGGTGTTAAACCCCCCTTCCTGGCCAGGCCATTTTTCAGTATTCAGCGCTGCAGTACTTCGTCACTTTTTCAGATATGCAACACTGTACTGAAATTAATTATATATCATTTATTGGGGAAAGGATAGGTTTCTTTTGGTGGTATTTAATCACCACTGGGGTTTATATTACTATATAAAGAAAAAATTTACTGAAAATGTTCCTACATTGTTGGGAAACATTTATGATGACCCAATGTTTTGCTAAAATATAAAAGACGGGGTCACGTCTGTTTAGACACCAAACATGTTGAGTCTTAAAATTGCACGTGCCCGTAAAATTGCAAAAAAATACCATACCCAAAATTGGCCATAGGCGACTATTTAAAAGCAGGTTTGTGGAATTCCTATCGCCCGACGCCCCGGGACATGCAGTTTTGGGCGCCGGGCGAGGTAGTTTTTATGTACATTTAGCCCGGCTCCAGACAAGCAGAGCTGAATGTACATTGTGGAGCCGCCGCCGCTCGTTTAGTACAAGTGGTCTGATCAGTCCACTTGTATCAATTTGAGCAGCGGCAATCGTTTCTGCCCGCACCCCCGCCGTAGTTTTTGTGGTCCCCCGCTCTCCTCCTGGGGGGCCCCGAAAACTACGGCACAACAGCTCAGCCATAGAGGCCTTAGAGCAGACGAAGAACGTCTGCTCTACGGGCTCTGTGTTCTGAGACCAAGGCGCTGTAATCACAGCGCCACCTGTCTCGGCTGTCAGGAACTACACAGAAGAGCTGTTCTGTGTTGGAGGGCAGGTTCTATAAAGAGAACCTGTCACCTCCAAACTATCACATAAAGGGATTTTAATCCCCTTTGTGATGGGAAGAACATTAAGTTGAAAAGCTAAATAAAAATGTAAAGAGAATGTAAAAAGTAAAATATATAAAGATTTAAAAAATGAAAAATAAAATTTAAAATGAAACCCTGCTGCCCCCGCTATCTGCATGCAAATAAATGCATGCGTAGGGCATTCTGCATGTGCTTTGAGATTGCAGCTGCCATTCCATGGTGTTAGCCAGAATACACACACACACACACTCACTCTGCATTGAAGGGTAAGTACATTTTCCCAGGTAATATGGAAAAATTAAAATTACCACATGAAATCTGGCCCAGTCTCTCCCAAACCGCCACCCCCGTAGCTATACTTACCTTTTGGTGAACAATCCCTCCCCTCCGCCAGTATGGGTGTACTATCTGTCCCCCGTACTGCTGTCCAGCGCAGTCCTCCACTATGAATTTTGAATTTTGATCCCAAATTGCAAGCACTCATTGGTCAACGTGGTCAGAAGACTGCGCTGACCAGTGAGAAGTGCTATTTAGCACAGTCAAATATGTTTTGATTAGGGGTGCACCGATACTAGTTAGGGCTGCGCCGATACTAGTATCAGTGCCGATAGAGTATTTGGGCGAGTACTCACTCACCCAACTGCTCCGATACCTTCACCGATATTGGAACTTCCGGCCAGATAAAAATTTCCTCTGACTGGTAGTGTCGTAGGGGAACATGGAGCCAGCTTCACGTGCAATCAGGAAGCCGTGCGCCAAGTAATGACGCGCCTCCTGGTTTTCTGACTGGCCGGGAAGCCGGCTCCTTGCTGATTGGCCTAGAAAGCCGGCTTCCTGGCCAATCAGGTCATTACTCACCACCCGGCTTCCTGATTGACCGGGAAGCAGGTTTCCCGGCCAATCACAATCAAGCAGGCCAAACAACATAAAGCCGGCTTCCGTGGCAGTCAGGAACCTGGGCGGGATGTCATTACCTGCTGACCGGCTTCCTGATTACCAGGGAAGCCTGCTCCATGCCAGCGGAAGCACCGGTATTAGTATTCAGTGCCAGCGAGATCCGAAAGCAAAAGATCTGTACTCGATACCGAAAAACCAGTATTGGTGCATCCTTAGTTTTGATTAAAACTATTTTTTTTTTTATATTGGGACTACTAGATTGTCATGAGGCAAGTAGATTTGGCCCCCGCTTTAGCCCTTGGACAAGTAGTTTTTTTTTTTTTATTTCCACACCCCTGTAAAAAGCTTTTACTGCTCATCCATTTAGTGTAATCTGTGATTGATGGCCCTAGAGTTATTGCTCACGATGTTCGTGGTGGTATCTAACGTGGCGCAATAGGCACAATTTTCGTATGTAGGCACACCCGACGCATGTTTGCGTGTGTGTGGGGTACTTTAAACATTTTTGTGGGGGAGGGGGGGTCGGATGGGGTGCACAGAGTGGCACCACATACAAGCGGTCGGGCGGCTTTAGAAGCGTTGGAACGCTTGTCTGTAAACCGCCATCGCAGGCTGTTTCAAATTCTGGCAGTTTCCTGTGCGCACACGAGAAGGGTTGATTCAGACATGCTTAATTGTGATTCAACCGGGGATCCTAGAAGTTTTGTTGTCAGATGTGGAGTCCCTCCCTTCTTTGGAGGAGGACACTCTGCCAGCCAAATTTTAAATCGACAGTTTAATCTATACAGAGGGAAACACTTTATTCTGTTTTTCAAAGCTCATTGGAATCTGCTCTCAAAGACCAAATCTTTCAGCCAAAGGGTTTCCTTTTCGCCTATTTCAATTATTTTATCTACAAACCTTCCAAGACTTTGGTTAATATCCCTAAGCAGGGATCTTACAGCTGCTGGTATTGACACTCAACTTATTGATTGTGTTGACCAGATGATTACCGCATTGAACTATATTCTGTGCTGGATGCCAGCCTGGTTAAGAGCTTTGGCAACCCTTTTTTCTTCAAGTAAGAAAGGCCTTGTTCTTATTTGACTCTTTGCTGGACGACATAACGTTGCAGTGGGTGTGAGAATACTCGCATACCCCAGCTTTGTGAAATTAAGGATCAACAATGCAGCTCCACACCTATCCTGCATGAAGGTTCTATTTCCTGCACCCATGAGTCATCTTCTACCCACTTGAGCTCTGGAATATCTAAGTCTGTGGCAAACCAAAGGATTTAAGCCTGTGCATAAATCCACCAACGCATAAAGGTCTGCTCCTACAGTTCCATCATGGGTGGGGGCACGTGGGGTTTGTTTTTGTGGGGAGTTGGAAAGCTAGCATAGACTTGGACTAGTTTTTGTGCACTCTCAAAAATGTCCGTTGGAATCTGTTCACAGCTATGGTCTAGCATTCCTTAAATCAAAGGATGCCAAGAAGTCTCCCATCTTTGCTAGTCATGACCATAATTTCCTTTGCTTGTCTGAGGGGTTTGTGACCCTTTCTTTTGGTCTTGCCTCAGCCCTGAGTGTTCACAAAGGTCCTTGCATTAGTTCTGGGCCTTCTCTATCTCTGAGGTATTCAATCGTCTGATACTTGGATGACCTCCCCCGGTTCTCCAATGTGTCAGTCATTCTGCACACCTCAGAACTTCGAATGGATCCTGAATATTGAGAAGTCCTCTTCGATTTTTTTTTTTTTTTTTTTAATGCATCTCTTGAAGTACTTGGGTCTTCTCCTTGACACCCTGAAAACCAAGGCCTTCCTATCCCAAAATAAGTGGATGAAGTTGCATAATCAGGTTATAACAACAAGATGATTTGAATATATCCTTGAACTAGAATGTTCGTCATGGTAGCTGTTGTCACAAGTTTTGTTGGCAGGCAGATTTTTCGTCAAGTGGAAGATTGTCATGCTGGATGCCAGTCATCTGGGTGAGGACAGAGTTCTGGGTATTCTGTTCAGAGTTGTTGGTCTCAGGAAGCTTCAATTAAAGCTTCCAATTCACATGCTGGAGCCATGTGCTGCCCCCCACCCCCTTCTTTTTGCATTCATTCAGACATTGCCACAGCTGATGCTTATATCGATCACCAGGGGGGGGCACTGGGAGTGCTGTGGCAGCAGTGGGGAGGTAGTCTGTCCTGTCCTTGAAATAGTTGCATGTTCAAGTGATCTTCATGTAGCAATTTCATGGGGTAGAATGCTGGAAGGCAGGTTTTATCAAGAGACATCTGGACCCTGTCGAATGATCTCTTCATTCAAAGGCATGTTGGGACATTTATCCCGTGTTAAAAGATGCCTGGAGTGAATTTGCTAGCTGCAGTCCAACAAGAAGTTGGACAGGTTTGTGTCCAGGACATGGTATCTGATGGCAGATGCCTGAATGACACTGTGGGATCAGTATAACCTTAGCTATGCCTTTCCTCTTTCGGAAGGTCAGAACATTTTTTATCTGGCTTCCAAATCTACCATTGGATTTGACAAGTCTACAACTTTTGGGATAAAGTGCCTCCTTTTTTTTGATGCCCACTCCCCTAGAGCAGCGAGTGCTTCTTGAGTTTTTGGTTATCAAGCCTTTGTGCCTGTGTCAGTAAGGACCTGGTCTTCTGCAGATTCTTTCTCTAAGTTTGTATCTGCTAAAGCAGATGCTAGTTTCAGTCAAAATATTCTGCAAGTGGCTATTTAATGCACTGGTTTTTTTCTGTTTTTGATTTTCTGTTTCTCCTGTGTTTTTTATTTTTGTGTTCCTACCCCTCCTATTAGGACTGTTTTAGGCTGTCCCTAGGTTGGTTAATATCCATCCAGCTGCATCCCTCAATGGATGGAGAAAATAAGATTTTGTGCTCGCCGTTAAATCATTTTTATTGAACACATGTTCTCTCTTTGGACTGCTTGAGCAGGTTGGGAGATGTTTTAGCCTCTAAGCAGCTGGCCTTCAAATTTCTGTGTCCAGTGTCATGTTCTCCCTGTAGTTGGCAGCATAACCCAAGATTGCTTAAAGGAGAACTATGGGGTTAGGGCTTTTCCCCATAGTTCTCCTAAGGGTAACGGGAGAATACAAACTAGCGTCCTCCCGTCACCCTAAGCGCAGTATACCGCAATCTACAGCTCGCGATATACTGAGACGCTGCAGCTGAAACGGATCCCGACAATTATGTCTGGATCCGCCTAGCTGCGTGAGGGACAGCTGGCTCTGCCTATCTAGAGGCAGAGCCAGCTGTACCTGCCCCGCCAGTCAGCGCTGGAGGCTCGGAGGGGGGAATCCAGCCCCTCCCCTGTCACGGCTCTCTCGATCGAGAGGTGAGCAAACGCCGGTATGTGTTCGTTCACTTCCCGATCTACTGAGCCGACTTTTCATTGTCACAGATCGGCTAGAACTATGAGGATGAGTGAAAAGCACTCTCCTCATAGTTCTCCTTTAACCTCTTTCAACCTCAGTAGCGGCTGCCTGGCATGTTGCTTTAACGCTGTTTAACTGTTCTGTACAAATAACATTTTCTTCAATTAAGTAATAAAATGAACTAGGATCACACTGATCCAGCACATTATCAAGCGGTGGCCATATTGAGTGGGGTACGTGGGATTAATAACGTGCTGGATTAGTGTGATCCTAGTTCATTGTATTACTTCATTGCTGTGCTGTATGGTATAGGCCAATGTAGTTGGATCTGTATGTGTTATAATCGATTTTTTTAAAACATTTTGATTAATCGAACAGGAAAATTTTAATCATTATGAGCGTGTGTGTGTGTGTGTATGTGTGTATATATATATATATTTTTATACTCTTAAATATAAAGGTTACAATCATTGCATAGCTTTTGAGTGCCCTAGTGAGTAGAGTTAAAGCTTAAACATAATCTCTTAAATTGGTGAATATATGTCATAGAAAAAATGCCACCTATTTTATGTAATCTCCGATTTTTGTCCCTCCATCCTAAAGTTCCAGTTAGACTGTTCTCCTTGATCTGCTATATGGACTGAAGGATCTCCTAAAATGGATGGGACATTTTGTATTTTAACTTATTTTTTTTATTTTTTCCCCCATTCACAGGGAGTCATTGCAGCAATGAGGGATGGTTTTGGTTTTATCAAATGTGTTGACCGGGATGCTAGAATGTTCTTTCACTTCAGTGAAGTCCTGGATGGAAATCAGCTCCACATTTCTGAGGAAGTAGAGTTTACTGTGGTCCCTGTAAGTAAATGTTCCTAACACAAGCTAATATTTCTACTTTGATTTTAATGACCATTTGAAAAATCAGGCCCTCTCGTTTGTATTGACCTTAGACGACCCATTTATATATAACTTTGCAATTCCCTATCAATATAGATAGGGAAAAAACATTTTTTACTATATACAGCAGCGGTATAATTTTTTTAGCTGCCTTTTTTATTATTTTAGAAAGGTCCGGTCCAATTTAAATGGCTGTAATATTTGTCCTGATAGTGGTATATTCAAATATTATTCTGTTGCAAACAGATCATGTGGTGCATAGACATACGATTTTGCATGATTCTCCTCTTTGGGCAGTTTTAGACTAGGAAGAAGTGCCAGTTGTAGATGTCTGAGCAAAGATGGAGGCCTTCTGAGTAGAAGATGATGAAAGCATTGTCTGTAGTACTTCAGTCTATGCAAGGGTAACACTAGTAGGTTTACAATAAAACTTAGCTTTTTTATTTTTTTTTAATGCATCTGTTAATCATGCAGCTTTGAGCTGCTTTCCCTGAAAAGGCAATTAACTTTCATAAGTAATAGAAAATTGCCTTTTGGGTGTGCAAAATCTGCATGGGCCGTTTGTGATGTATTAAGAGAATTACTAAAGATAAATGGTGTCTACCATTATGGACTTGTTTTTAAAATACATGCCCTCTAAAATTGTCATCCTGATTCAGGCTTAACTGACATGACACAAGCATGCAACATTGAAAATTGGACCTTAATTGCATTATTTTCCTAGAGCAGTACTTGCTAGGTAGTAAACCCAGGATTGGGATCTTTCCCTTTGGCCTGCGCTTTTAAAAATAAGTCCACAATTTCTGTTCTGTAATTTTGGTAAGGAGCTTTTCATGATAGAAATATGGGACCTGCCATTACTAATTTTGTTTTTGTAAATGCATGTTTTTCTATGCTTTAACCAAAATTAGCATACGTTGCTAATGCTGGATAGACACTTGCTTGTTCCAGGTCACCGATCCACCGAGTATTGAAGGAAGGAATAAGCCCTGGAACAACCACCTTCAAAAACAGGTCAGCATTGGTAGCTCCCATGTTCTATTAATCGGTTTCTTTCTAAAAGCAAACAAAATCTAGAAGATTCCTCTCCAATCTTTCCTTTACTGTATCTTCAGAGTTGGCACACAGAGGGAAATTAAATTGTTTCTAAACACAAAAGCTTTCCATTTTTTTAACCCTTTCGCTGCCGGAGCCGGTTTTTGCCTGGGATTTTTTGCAGACATTTTAAAATGCATATTTTAGGTCTCTTAGGGATTTATTACTTACATTTCTCCCGAGTTATATATTTCCTGAAAGCAGAGACCCTGTAGTATAATGGTGGCAGTTGCCATTTTTTTATGATATGATATTAGCACAATAGTTTATCAAACCTCAATTTTCTGAAAAAATTTGGAATTTTATTGCGTATAAACACAATATATTACCCAATTGTTTGGTAAAATGTAAAAGATGAGGTTGCCCTGAGTATATAGATGGATACCAAACATGTAACTTCAGAATTGCATACGCCTGTGGAAAACGACAGCACCCAAAATTGTTTATAGATAAAGCTTTTAAAGGTCATCAATTTAGATCTAACCATAAATAATGGCCATGGAAATCTTGCTCTAGCGCCAGCATGCGTGGTATTGCTGCGCGTTCAGGGTTTTCGTACTTAGTCATGCCGAACGTATGTATGTTTCTTGACTTTATTGCTATGACATTGGGGGCTCACGAACCTCATATGTAATGGCACTTCAGTAGTAAAAGGTCCTCTTTAAAGTGACATTAGGGGTCACCTTTGCATCCCCTTGAAGTTGCTTCCAGATTGTTTGTTTTTGGGTGGGGGGCGGGGGGGTTACCTGGTAATCTTGCTAGTAGCAACTTTCCCCTTAGGCTGCTCTCATCCTGATTTGAACCAGCACACTTATCTTCATTATGTAGAGGGGAGTTGTTTTGTAGTTCACAGAAGATTGCCGGGAAGGTAGATAATATTGTTTGCGATATCAGTTCAGTGTACATAAAATTACACTGACAAAAGGTTTTAGCAGGCTTAACAGGAAAGCTAGATTTACTTAAAAGAAACATGTGCTCCACAACACTGGTGTATGGAGAGCAGATGGCAACATCTGCTTACCATTAGAAATGGGGATTTTTCTTTTCCTTTTTTCTTTTTCTTTTTTCCCCTTTCAGAGTTTTTTAGAGACCCTTCTAACCCTTTTCTCTTTTACAGGACATGCTCTCTGCTCAAAGAAATCATGCCATTAGAATTAAAAAGCTCCCTAAAGGAACAGTCTCCTTTCACACACAGTCAGATCATCGCTTTGTTGGTATTGTTGAAAAAGAAGCCACAGCTGCAAGTGCTAAATCCAGCAGTCCGAACAAAGGAAAGGAAAAGGTAATGGCACCTGCCATTCAGCTTTCAAAGTCATTCTGAGGACAGGGTTAAGCAAATCATTTCTCTCTGATATGGTTCTAGTTAGACTATGTGCAGTCTTTGCGTACTTTAATTTACACTTTTTTCCTTTAATTTTGTGTCTAGAAAAAAGAGAAGGTAAGCTCCTTTGCATGGTGTGGGTTATTTAATGGCTAGTGATGTTTCTCCTGCATTGCCTTTCTCTTTGCGGTGGTCAGATTTCCTAGGTTTTCTATGCATGTTTCCAGTTGTCATTTAACCATCACAAAGTTACTGTGTCTATGTCTAAATGGACAAAAATAGTATGTAGTGTTGTAATGACAACACCACCAAGATTGACACAGCTGCCAAATCACCTATAACGTAATGTAGTGTGCATGTGCAGCTTGTCCAAACCATTCCTGCAACACGTAAGAGCACAACATGACTTGAGTCGCTGCTCTTCATTTCACTATTCCCGGATTGTAAAATAACACTATCTTGAGATAGCATAGAGTCAAGAGTGTAATGTTCTGTAGGAGTGAGTTGACCACCTGCTTTTGGCTTTTCTAAAATTGATTAAGAGCATGCATTCATTTTGCTTGTTCAAAAAAGTTGTTGCACTTGGATAGAAAGTAGCATTGGAGCGTGTGCGCACAGCTATAATTTGTGCCAGCTTTAACTTTTTTGTGTGTGTACGGTAAGAGTAGGTCAGCATCAAGAACTTTGAGTAGTTTATGTTGCTACACACAGACTGCCATAGACCTTTTTTTTGTTTTTTTAAAAACATTTTGACATTTCTCTGTTTAATGGCATTCTCTGTATGTGCAGCAAAATTATCTGCCCTGTTTCAACACAATGGGTGTCAGGGGAAGTTCTGACATATCTGTCCACTGAGCAGTTCATGCAGTTCTTTTACTTCAGCTGCCATTTCTATCTATGTAGGAGAGAATTGGAATATTTGATTGCTTATATATTAGTAGATGTTAATTAAGCAGTACCTTGCAATCTGTATGATTTGCTTCTTCTGTGGTTTTTATTTAAGCTTCCAGTAAAAGACTTGGTGATTGGTTAGTGTGTTTTTAAGTCCAATTAGGTCATCTAATAACCCAGTGTGCTCCTGGTTTTGTTTTTATCCAAAATGGAGGGGCATACAATACTAAAAGGTATTAACTGTGAGGGATGAGCTAATGGAGAAAGTAAAAGTACAGTTTTTAGGTGGACTATGGAGTCAGTGACTAGATGAGTTTTCAGGTATTGCCTAAAAGCACAGTGGAGTCCATCGGCAGAGGGGGTGGTGGCTGCTGAATGGTTGGTTAAAAAGGTGGAAGAGTCTGACAACATCTTTAATGATGGACTCAAGATGGGGGGTAGCCTGTGTAGAGGTAGGCTATTGAGGACTGTGTAGCTACTTTATCACCCAGCTATTAGACTTTGGTTATGCACTAAAAGTACATGCTCTATCCAGATATAATTTTCAAATGGATACTCCTAGCCCCCCCCCCTCCCCGGGTCACAAACAGAAGAATCGCAAACCAGACCCTGTATAACCACTCCTCTACTCTGTATGCCTCCGTTTTTGTTTTGTTTTTGTTAGTGTCTTTGGAGTTGAGGCCATTTCTTTACCTCTTGTCTTCTTGTGAAAAATATATATATTTTTTTTTTAATGCTAGTCTTCATGGAATTTTTCCTTGTGACTTCAATCAAGATTCTTTGCTGATCTGCTGCTGGTCTCTCTATAGCAGCTATCTGGATCAGTGTTTCCTTGGATTAGCTTTGGAGGCCAGCCTCCTCTGGACATGCAGGGCTTGCCTGGAATGTGACAACCTTTTGTGGCTTCCAGACCAGAGTGTACTGTTATCCATGAAGTGCTTTGCAGGTCCTGAGCTGTGGTAAAGCCCCAGGTATGACCCAGTCTCTGAAGACTGTGAGGTAAGCCTTTTCAGGCTAGGACAACTGGAGCTACCTTACTGTTTGCATCATTGACCGCCTTTCAAATTTCCTTCCATTGGTTTTAACGTGGTAAATGTTAAAGGAGAACTATGACATGAGTGATTTCCACTCACCTCATAGTTCAAGCAGACCTGTGACAATGAGACTGTCACAGGTCGGCTCAGTAGATCGGGAGGTGAGCGAACACATACCAGGTTCGCTCACCTCTCGATCCTGTCACGGCTCTCTGCTGTGACAGGGGAGGGGCAGAATTCCCCCCTCCCCGCTCCGATCTGCCAGCGCTGACTGGCGGAACGGACGGGGGAGGGGGCGGGTACAGCTGGCTCTGCCTCTAGATAGGCAGAGCCAGCTGTCACTCACGCAGCTGGGCGGATCCCGGCATCCTACGTCGGGATCCGCTCCGGCGGCGGAGTCTCAGTATACCGCGAGCTGTAGCTCGCGGTATACTGAGCTTAGGGTAACGGGAGGACGCTAGTTTGTGTCCTCCCGTTACCCTAAGGAGAACTATGGGGAAAAACACTGACCCCATAGTTCTCCTTTTTAAGACTGAAAAGCCAAGTGCTGGGTGTAGCAATGCACTTTGCACTCCACCCCACCCCCATTCAGCCTGGAGGAAGCATCCCATTGCTGCAAGGACCTCATGTGTGTGCTCAGCTACTGGAGCACTCGTCTCACAGAGGCCCTAAGTGGGTTCTGGCATTGTTCCCTGCAGATTTGGCCTTTGAACTTAAAGCCAAGCCTGTGAGTTTCTGACTCGGATTCAGAGTCCCAGCAATCTCATCTTTTCAAGCTTTTTGAAGCACCAGTCTCCTGCTGTTTTCAGATTTACAGGGGGTTGTTTCAAACCTTATTATTCAGTGCATATTACCCTGGATTTGGAGGATAAGCCTCCTGTTCCAGGGATTTGGTAATTTAGCGCTACTACATCTGTAAAGACATTCTTTTACACCTGATTTCTCTACACAAGCTGGAAACACCTCAGTGTGGGCCCCACCAGAGAGTGTGAAAACTTTTCCACTTTGCAAGGGGAACTGTAGATATGTTGATACATCTTAACAGGAATACCTCTAGACTTGTTGAGGGTGTGCTCACCTTTTGGGATCCCATTGACAAGCAGATAGTCTGTTTGTACATTTCTTGCCTGTGTAGCTGGGATGATGACACTGTGTATCCAAGGAGCATCTAACTTGACTAGCCTTCAAAGGAACATCATCCTTGTTTTTTGCCTTCCCAGGACTTAGGGGTTCAGGATGCCCATTTTAGCCCACGGGCTAACTCATTTTGTCTGGGACCGCCTATATTTGCCCCTCTCTGTCCTCCTTGGGCTGCTACATACAGCAGTGGTAATTCCCAGTTCTTCCTAGATTCCCCACACCCTAGAACTCCCCCAATTTGTCCAATTGGAGACTGCTTCAGGATTTGCACCGCATTCTGACTCCCCCTTTCACGAGAGTCCCTTGAGTCCTGTTAAATTCCTGGCATCTCTCGGCATTCCTTCTCTCCAGAGGGACTTCTGGCCTCCAAGGTCACCTGGCTGTTCCCTGCCTTATCAAGGCCCTGGAGTTTTTCAGAGGCTCCTGCTACTACTCAAAATGCTGGACAGTGTGTCTACTTTAAGTCCCTTTCCTTGCATCCCCATCAGGGGATGCCTAGACCATCTTCCCAGAAGAGGGTCAGCTTATTGAACTTTTGGAATCGGAATCCATCTGAAGGGCCCAGAACCTGCAAGCTTTGACTGCATCGGGCCTTGCAGGTGTCTATCTTAGCTGTCTGTCACTGGCAGGCAAGGCTTTAAAGCTTAAGCCCTTGGTACAAAGTTTTACACTCTCTAACAGTTGTTGAGTTCCACCTTTTTTCCCCATCAGGGGTCTACAGGGTGTTGAGGGAATAACCTGTTAACATGGCCTCCCCCTCTCTCACTGGCACTTGGTCCTTTTCAGCTCCCCCCACCTAACTGTCTCAGGCGTCACTTAGCTATTCTTATGGGTTATTCAAGAATATGAAAACCTTGCGTCATAATATCTTTGCGAGGTTGGTTGCCTGGCCAGGTCATTTTTTATTCTCATGGAACCATCCTTCTGTGGATTCCAAGGGTTTGAAGTGTAAGGCTTTACAAGTGGGACAAAGCTGGACTTTTTTGGCGGATCTCGTTTTGGCATGCTCATTTTTGTGAGGAGAGGTTGTTCAGGGGCTAGCTTACAACTTTTCCTGTTGCCAATATCTCCAGCCTCTTGAAGGCAGCAGTACAACCTGACTTGCTGAATTCCTGTGTCCTTCAAATTATTTGAAGTGATAGATTTTACAATAAGTATGAAAATAATTTCACAAGCCGTTAAGAAATTTTAAGAACTATGCCTAAAGAAGTATTCGACAATCTGTATGTAGTAGATGTAATAGAAATGTAAAGTCAAAATGTGTTTACTGCTATTAGGAGGGTGAAGAAGGAATAATTTCTTATGAAGACTGTGGAATCCGACTTACTGTCTCCTATCACCTCAAGGATTTGGAAGGATCTTCTGCCCCCCAAGCTGGGGATAAGGTTAGTCCTATACCCCCTTATTTTGGCCTGGAAAGAGAGAAGCTGCATGTGTGTGTGCTCTATTGTGTCCAGTGAAATGCAATCTTAAATCAATCTTTATCTCTATCTAGGTTGAATTTAGCATTTGTGAAGCCAAAAGAACTGGCCAACAGAGTGCGGTCTCTATGAAGGTTCTTGGGCGAAATTCCAACAGCAAAAGGTTTTATGGTTATGTGGCCACTCTAAAAGATAACTTTGGGTTTATTGAAACTGCCAATCATGATAAAGAAATTTTCTTTCACTACAGGTAAGTGAATGTGTTTTTAGATTTCCAAATTTTTATACATTGGATCTTAATGTTGAACCTATTTTATTAGGTTTATAAATATGATCGAGGAAATAGTTTAGCAATTCAAAATAACTGTAGAACACTCGCTATCAGTTCTGTAACTATACTCCTACCGAATAATTGAGCCATGATTATGCTAGTGACTGGAAAGTAAGGTGTCTGCCTGTTATGTAAAGGGTGGTTTTGGGCATGTTACAGATAATGGAAATTGTACGTTTGTGGTATTGAAGGTCACAGATGTAGTCCGAATTAAAGTGAACATATTCTCTATGTAAAACTAACTGTGCTGCCTAAAAGCAGCAGAAGGTGCCTGGTATTTGCTTTTGTCCATCCTGTGGCCCGTCTTACGATTTTTTTACTATGCTGTGGAGCCCTTGACTTCTCTGCTTTATGCGTTAATCAGACTTGAGTCTTACCCACCTGTTTGGCATCCCTGTCCAGCGTGTTGATGGTCAATAAGGCATTTATCGCAGATTTAACAGAGGGGATCATGGATTAGAAGTAATATCGGGCACCTTGTGGTCTTCCAGTGAGGAAATAATTATTTGAAGATTTTATATATTAACACTTGCACTTGTATAACCAGTCAAAAATGAGAACTGAACTGTAGAAATGAAAATCTTGTTACTCGAGATTGCAAAGGACATGTGATATGTACAGGCACATAGATTATCTTCATGATTTGTCATCGCTTCTGTCTGCTGCATGCCTGCCACATGTGATATCCAGTGCTGTTCCTTTTGGAATGCTGAATGGATTGCCTCTATTGCATTTTGTTACATATTGTTGTAGAAAAGTGATACCGACTACTTTTGCAGGTAAAATTAAACGGCATTCATAATGCCCCTAAATGTATTTGAGTGAGCTTGAGTTCAAGTACTGGTGCCTTAATGTGGAATATAACATGGGTACAAAAAATGAAAAAAGGGCCTCAGTCATGAAGGGGTTAAAACTGTCCCTGAGTTGGGAGGTGGTATTGTGTTACGCAAATATTGCTGACCTCTTTGGACTTGCTTTAGTTTGTATACTTTGGACTTGTACTGCAATTAAAACTAGCATTACCAAAATGTATCTTTTATTTTTGTGGATAATTCTTTCTTGAAGTGAGTATGCTGGAGATGTAGATAAGCTCGACCTTGCAGATATGGTGGAGTACTGCTTGTCCAAAGGCAAGGGGAACAAGGTCTGCGCTGAAAGGGTCACAAAGGTCCATCAAGGTAAGATTATAAAGCAAAGTATCTTTTAGTTTTTCATTGGATTTCGTGTGCATATTTGTAACAGAGTAAGTGCAATGTCAGACAGGCACTTCAATACCGGTTAGCCTTCATGAAAAATCTTACAAAAATATATCAGTTATTATCTATATTGGCCAACATGCTAGCTTTGTAGCAAATTTCAGGTTAGTAGCTCGGTGATTGGATTTCAGCAGCGTTTCATGTCAGACAAGCTCACCATTGACTCTTGCTCTGCATTCACCTCTACAGTGCAGCTGCAAATCGCTGAAGGAAAGTGATTTGTAGCAAACCAAATCAACCTAATATGGTAGCAGATGTTTTATCTGTAGCAGCAATAAATTGGAGGAACCATAGCAAGGAGGAATCACTGCTACAAAATCACTAGTTTAACATGGCACTAAGCAAGTAAAATGGCAAACAATGTGAGTGGGTTGTTCTTGTGTTTTTTTTGTAAATGTTAGTCATGTTTTATGCCCCTTTTTTCCCTTTTTGTTTTTTTTATGCACTTCAAGTTGACGGATCCGGTGATGATGTGAATCCAGCTGTGTTCTGGGGCAAAGTTGTACGGCCCCTGCGGAGTGTGGACCCTACACAAACTGAGTACCAGGGAATGATTGAGCTTCTAGAAGAAGGTATGTTTTAAATGCACACTGGTTTATAATTAAGGGGCTATGTGCAAATGAACATAATTAAAATCAAACCTAAATTTAGAAACCGGTTTTGATGTGATCGTATTAAAACGTAGTTATTGGTGTTGCTCAATTAAGACCTTCAAGTGTTGGTAGTTACTGGTGTTCAAAATAATCCATGCATTTGAAAAATGTAAATATTTTCCTTATTTTGTTGATCTGTGACAGCAGGTAGGGTGAGTTTGGCCTGACAAAACCAGGCATTTAAAATTCAACAAAGTTTTGGGAGCACCCAAAATACAATGGGTGAGGGGGATATGTATCTAAACTGGAGCAGACAGAATCTGGAGCAGCTACCCGTAGTAACCAATCCACTTCACTGTTCAGTTAAGCTTTGAAAATGAAAGATAGATGCAGATTGTTTCTTATGGGCAACTGCTCCAGACTGTATGCTCCCATTTTTATAAATTCCACTCAATGAGTCCAAAACTTGTGCTGCAAAAGTCCTGCCAGGCCTTAATGAACAGGATTGGAAAGAAGTTTCTAACTCCTATTTACTTTACTGTCATCTTGACCAGAGGCAAACTTGGAGTATATTTTACGGCATATAGGGTATTTAGAATGGATAAGTTAGACACCACCTTGATATATAAATTTCAAAAGGAAAAGGGAGATGTTTTTCACATGATTCGGAACTGTGACAAAAGACCCTTTTGCAGGGGCGTCCTGAGGCCGCGTGACACCCCTCTGTGACGTGCATGCACAATGACGTCCTCGCATTGACGCCTGCCGGCAGCCATCTTGTTGACCTGTCTGTCCTTTCAATGGCCCCTCTTAGAAATTGATATTTGCATTTAAAGGGTTACACACATTGCTCCCCGTTTGACCCTAAATCCAACCATGGAATTTAAATCTAGTATTGCCAGTGTTGGATATCCCTGTTTGGACTTATTTGGCCATTTCATGCATGTTCGCCGCCTTTGTGGCCATCAAGAACTTTTGATTTAAGGTCTTTTTTGTTTGTTTTCACCTTTTAATGAGGATATTGTTTTTGATTTGTTCAGCCCAAGGAAATCTTTTATCTGGAAGTGACTAAGGCCATCAGGGGTTACCTCCCAGCCACTGCTTTTTAGGAAAACTGAATTCCTTTTATTCAATAAGGTCGTAAAAGTCTCTGCTCCTTCCAGATCCAAATGTAATTAACTGGTTATTGTGCAGGCCTGTAAAGTGCCTCTTTCTTTTTCCCCCTTTAATGCCCAATCCACTAGAGCAGGGAGTACCTCTTGGGATCAGATCTGTAAAGCTGCAGCTTGGTCTACTGTTTACACATTTTCTAAGCTTTATAAAGTCGGTGTTTGTACCTCCACATATGCTAGTTTTGGCTGAAAAGTTCTGCAAAATTCTGTTTTAATCCTTTTTTGTTTTGAACTGGTTTGCATGTGTTTTGGTGTCTGTCCCTCAGTTTGGGGTGCTTTTGGAGGTCCCTACATTGCTTTACTACCAGCGGTGAAGAGGTGTCCCTTAATGGACGGTGAGGGAAAAATGGTTATCTGTACTCGCCATAAAATATCTTGGAGTCCATTGAAAGATCAGGCTTGATGGTAATTAAGCAACATAGAAAACTTAAGGCCAGCGCCCTAGATGTTATAACCACTCGCACCTTGCCACTTGTAGCAAGCAAGGAGAAAACAATAGTGTATGGAGGGAGCCATATCTCTCAACAGACTCTGAGAAAAGGTTTTTCTAGTACAATTCTATGTTTTACCCATATTGATAGGTGGGGAATATCTATTGGTATATTGGGTTCCTGTAAATGAATTACCAGCAAGTGTGTTTTTTTTTTTTTTCCAGTTGCTGACCAGCAGAAAATAGCTGAGGAAACTCCCACTGAAACTGAGGAAGGCGAAGCAGAAACTGAAGACAGCACAGAAGATACAAGCAAGCAAGGTATTTGTTTAAAACATTAATCTGAATGTGCCTTCTTTCCTGAATTGTACCGGATATACTTTTGTGGCAAAAAGTCTAAATTAAAATTCGTTTTTGAAGTACTCGGTTTTGCTTTGTCCTCGCTTTGTGCGTTTTTAAGGTTGCATTGTTTTTTTTTTTTTTCTACCCTTAACCACAGACGGACGGCACTGCAGCATACAGACGGCATTTTTTTTCTGCTTGCGCGCGCCCCCTAGTGGGCACGCATGGGCAGAAAAGACCCGACCAATGCAAACACCCGTTACCGGGTGTTTCACATATAGACGATCGGCGGCTCCATAGCCCGCCGATCGTCTGTGCTCGTTTTTTCTCTGCTTCATCAGCTTTTTTTGGGGTCCACAGGTGACATTAGGGGTCCTAGAGACCCCTAATGTCTCCATAAAGAGGACCTGTCAGTGTGCCTTTGCTATTGTATAGGGGGATTGTTATCCCCCTATATAATAGCAATAACAATAAGTGCAAAAAATAGATTTTATATATAGATAGATATATCTATATAGATTTATTTTATTTTACTTTTTTATATGTGATATATATGTCACATATAAAAAAAGTGAAAAAAAAAAAACAAAATGTTTAACTCCCCCACCCCCACTTTTACACACCTATAAACGTAAATACGCGTCCGGTGCTCCAGCGCGCAAAAACGACAATTGCACTACACATGTTACATATCGCCGCGAATGTCGCAGTGAGGGCGATCATTTTAGGGCCATCAATCACTGACACTAAACTGATGAGCGGTAACGGCTTTTAAAGCGTCGCCTATGACCAATTTTGGATATTGTTTTTTGAGGTTTCGCGCACGCAATTTTAAGGCTTGACATGTTTGGTGTCTTTTTACCCGACGTGACCCCGTCTTTTATATTTTACCAAAAAATTGGGTAATGTTTTATCATTTAGTATAGGGGGAAACTGGGTTTTTTTTTTTTTGTTTTTTTTAGATTTCGGTAATTTTTCCTTTAATATAGTAAAAAATAACCCCAGTGGTGAATAAATACCACCAAAAGAAAGCTCTATCTGTCCCCAAAAAAAGGGTATAAAATTCATTTCAGTACAGCTTTGCATGACGGAATAAATGTCAGTCAAAGTACCGCAGCGCTGAATACTGAAAAATGGCCTGGCCAGGAAGGGGGTTTAACACCGCGGATGTCAACTGGTTAAATACTTAAGCTCCCCCTTCATATACCTCTTATGGGCCACATTTCAGTTATGAGCCTCTTAATTAGGAATAACTGTCATTCATATAACTATGTATGATACTGGTTAAATTTATCAGTTTTTTGGGGGGTTTTTCATAGCGCAGCACTTTGCTCAAGCTGAACGTTATGTGAAGCTAAACATCATATACAGCACAACAAAGTGCTCAAGATTAACATTATAAATTGCTCAAAAAGTCACTTAGATATTTATAGGATGTTCTGAACAAGTTTTTATTACGCTTTTGCTTCAGTGTTCTCAATTTTTTCCAGCTAGCATCAAAGGACGTCTTACCCCTTTTGGCATCGTGGGAATGGCGAATAAAGCAGATTGTCTACAGAAAGGAGAAACTGTCAAATTCCAGCTCTGTGTCCTAAGTCAGAATGGGCAGACAATGGCTTGCAACATTGAGCCACTTCGTAGGGGTACTGTTGAGTGTGTGAAAGATCAGGTAGGTTCTCCAGTTAGTAAATACTTTCAGGCCATCAATAGTGTTTGTAGTATATAATTAAAGGAGGCTTCAAATGTCATTGAAATATTTGTGGAACCCTCCGCTTCCTTCAAGATACCCTTGTTTTTCAGTTCTCATATTTGAGTCTCTGCTGTCCACTGAAGCTCTAGCATCTGACAGATGGGTTGCTTCAGCTCAACTTGTAAGTTGGGTTACTGCATACTGGAATCAATTTGAGGACTCCCATGAATAATTAATGCCATGCCTACTTTGGGGAATTAATTTACTGTCCACTATAGCAGATTTTCCCTTCATGCATATGTTGGGATACGGGGTCTTGCTGACTCTGCCTTTGATGCAGTCAACATTTTGCTTTCTTTTTATTAAAACATGCTCTAAATGAACAATAATATTTTGTTCCTTTGTATGTGTGCGTTTTAACTTTTAAGAAGATCTTTAAGTTCTTGCAAGAAATTATGTGCAAAAAAAGTTAAATTAAGATCTAAGGAGTTGGCATCCAATAAGTAGAATGTGTGCAGTTTGGTACATGTCTGAAAGTGTCCCTTTGCATGAAAGACTTCTCGAAACATGGATGTACGTTGGTGAACATATTGTGCTAGACTGTAAAAGAACCTACTCGCATTGGTGACTAATGTATGTTATGCTTGCATGTAATGTGTGGGGTATCCTTTCAAATTTCTTTCATAATTTAATATGCAAATCTACATGTATATGGTATACATTCACATGTGAGTATATTTGCCACATTAACAAGGTGTTGAGTCTAGCTTTTTGTGCCCTTTTTTCTTTAGTTTGGCTTCATTAACTATGAAATTGGTGACAGCAAGAAGCTTTTCTTCCACGTGAAGGAAATCCAAGATGGAATTGAGCTGCAGGCTGGGGATGAGGTGGAATTCTCAGTTATTCTTAATCAGCGAACTGGGAAATGTAGTGGCTGTAACGTTACATTATTAAGGTAATTCGCTCAGTTACATGATTTGTTTTGCTTGCTGTTTTGGTAATTTGTTTCCTGACTCGTCGATTTTAAAGCTCAACTGCATGTGGATGTGAAATAGATTTAGGTTATGGATTTATTAAATGTATCTTTATAAATCTGGCAAACGTACTGTAATATCTTTTAATCCCCATGCACAGCAGAATTCAGACTAGGAGAACTCTGCAAGCCAGTGAGTTTCTACTTGATTACATAATATGCTTTAACATGGAAACTTTCTGACCGGAGCGATGACCCAATCCATGCACTGTTGCTTCTTTATTATTGGCTCACAAGTTGAAGTGGGTCCTGAATATGTTTGGGTTTTACTGCATTGATAAAATATATCCAGGAGTTGGCTCTGCTGGCTGACGGGGATAATAAGACTTGTCTGCCAATAAGGATTTGTAATTCTTTGCAGGCACACAGATCTAACATGCCTTTTAACTGTGATTTTGATGTTTGCTTAGAGTTCTGCTTTAAGGGGGAATTCAGAATTGTGTAATTCCCTATTTGGGGCCTGTGTATAATATATTTTTCCCATGGCACTATTGTGTACAGAACAGGTCTGAGTCTTACCATTTAAATGCAATAGTGTTGCACCTAGTTATATAGTAATATCAGATTTCACCGGCTAGCCCTAATCACTGTGCCCGATAAGAAGCCCCTTTTCTTTATCTGGCTCTTAGCATTTTGTTTGCCACTGTTGGTGTTGCAGCTTATGATGCAATTTTTCCATTTAAAATCCTGTTTTTGCACTCTGATAAATTCAAGTATGAAAAGTTATTCAAAACCCACATAATTGTATAGTGGAATTAAACACAGGCTTAGCTGAGTGAAGTGCAGCATATCAACCACAGGCCATAACGTCATGTTGACTACAAGTGTAGTAAGTCTCGTATATAAAAAATTACTGTAGATTTTAAAAGGCATATAAATGTTATTTGGATGAAGCAGGTTCATGGAAGTATGCTGTAAAGGATTGGCTCCATTTTAGTTGGGAAATTGGAAAGCACACTTTGTCAACAAGGTACTACATGCATTATTCTTTTTCTCGCAGCAAAGGCCCTGAAATGGTAGCAGCCCCACGTCCTGACCGACTGGTGAGTCGGCTAAAAAGCATAACCTTGGATGATTCTAGTGCACCCCGTCTTATGGTCCTGCGTCAGCCTAGAGGTCCGGATAACACGAAGGTGTGTGGTCTTTTTGGTGATGGTTTTCATATAAATTAAGCCATATATTGTTAGATGAAGCTTGCTTTTTTTTTTTTCTTGCACTCCTTGACAAAGCAATGTAGTAAATGGTTATCTATCGTGCAAGTTACACAATAGCATAAAGTATGTAGTAGTAATGGTTAGGATACAAGTTCAGGTTTTGTCTTGGGTGAGGGGTTTTCAAGAGTAGAATTCATTTTTATGCACTGAAAAACAGGGTTCTCAAAAACTTTGATGGGGGGTAACGGTACCCCCAGAAAGGCCCAGGGCATGTACTGTGAATAGGATATTTGGCAAGCCAAAGGAGATGCAGAAAAAGAGTTAATTGGGTGCCAGAATTTAAAAATAGGGTTCTGCTGCCATATGGTGTGAAAACAGTGAGCCACTTTTGACAGCCCTTAAAACAGGACTGTTGAGTACGTAGACCAGGAGCAATGCAATTTTGCTAGGGTAGAGTAAATTTTAGTGAAACAATTTGAGTCAAGCTCCTGTCTCTAGCAGAGATAAGGGGAGACACATGATTCTTCATATTCTTGCCAACTATCCTCCGTTTTCATTGGTAAAACGGAAACCCTTTGGCCCTTTCGAGTTTATTTTTGGTGCATAGAACTTTTTTTGGTAATATGTAAATTCACATCTCTTGAAAATTTACTTGTAAGGTATCATAGCAACTCAGAGATTAGGTTGTAGCAGCTCGAGTATCCAGCAACTTAGGACATTTAAAAAAGTCA